ACTATATAATAAAAATTTTTAAAGGTGCATAATTGATCTGCTCTGCTTAACTTCGTGGGCGGAGTTATATCGAAGCATAAGGATTATTTTATAATACCCTTTATCAGCAAGCCTTTTTAGAAATATCATTTTATTTCCTTTCCATAATATCCGTACTTTTTATTATTTTGAATCCTTCATAATAAAAAAGTTACAATCATCTAAGGCTAAGATAATTTAGCTATGAATATACCACTAAATCTACAAATAATAGAGTCATCTCTATTCAATACTTCTGGAGAAATACTGAAAATGGCATATTCCATATATTTGATTATCTGACACTTGTTTATAGGTTGGTCTAGATAATCGAAAATTCAAAAATCATATGATTCCCTCACTTTGCAACTAATGACAACATTCTGAACTATGTAAAGTAGCAATGTCCATATAAAATGAAGTGAAAATTTAATTATATTTTCATAAGATATCGCTAAAATTTTTGAAAATTACTTATTAGCAAATAATATTGGAAACTTTGAATTGACTGCCGAATATCATTGATAGCAAATAAACATTTGGTGGCTGTTGCTGAAAGTCAAATTTCTAATTTACCATTGACTTCCATGCATATAATTATAATCGTGAAACGAATAAATGATTCCAATAAATAGATCAAAAAGAATGTAACAATTCAATGCCGATAGAAAGTGCAGTAATATTTAAGTAGCTTATCAGTAATATAATATTCGCTAAATTTTTTGTTTGAAAAATAATCTTTCTTATAACGCCGCCGATAAATTTTACAATAAATATCAAAAAAAATAGAAAATTAATGCTAATTAAATGTTTGTCTCTGAATTATATTGCTAACGATGTATTTTTAAAACAATATATCCAATTTTTTCTAGACTTAAAAATGCAAGAGCTGTTTCAATTATACAAGATTGAAAAAATATTATAATTACTGTATATATATCGATATCTATTATAAAAATTTTTTTTTTACAAATATAACTTGAAATATTACAGTTAATAGTTATGTCCAAGTTTTTATAATTTTAATGCTGATTTTTTATGTTTTACTATATAATTTCAAAGCGGGCGTTATTTTTGACGCAACGTTATATAAACAAACCAAATATTCCTGTAAAAATAGAAAATAAAACTGGTCGAATTTACATAAATAATATAATAACATTTCATTTTTTTTTGGAATAGAACAAATTATTAAACAGAAAAATAATTATGTATGATGTCTATTTCGAAACAAATTCGTCAAGCATCGTATGATTACATTCTCTCAGATTAATCAAACTATCAAATAAAATACAATATTTTCAATATTTAAAACATAAATTAACTATAACAAGTCGCAAAAATCAAATTAAACGAAGATTTTTTTAGACCTTCAATATCCGTCAATTAAGGATGAAATTAATTTTATAGTTGTCTGGCTAAGCTCATTTTAGCAAATTGCAAAAGCCGAAACCCTATATTTCGACGGATTTGATAATATAGTTTTGACTTTTACGGGATTTTATTATGGTTTCGAGTTTCGACGGTTAGACCAATATGTTTTTATTATAGTTTTGCCAATGAACCTGTCAAAACCTGAGAGTTTTTGCCAGGCAACTTTGTTAAATTAGGGCGTTCCATGCACCTCCCTCAAGGTGATTTGATAGTGAGATGGTGCACAAGCTTTACGACCAAGAAATTATGATGGCGATCAATGCTTGAGCAATCTCTTTATATTTTTCTATTGATTTTATCATGACTAAAAAAAATGCTTTAGCCCTAGCTAGTGCCCCTCCTTTCACAATTTAACTAATAATCAGGAAATTCATTTCCTTATCTTTACCAATTTGTGGACATGTAATTCATTATTTAGTTATAAGTATATTAACGTCTCCAAGAACGATCAGTAAAATTCCATGTATTTGCTCTAATACTCCTGCTTCATTTGCTAGTTGTCATTTAATATCTTAAAAATTATCGGAATTTCGCAGATCCACATTAATTTTCGTTCGTTCGCAATTTTTGAAGTCAAAAATAAAATAAATGAATGGTATAGCAACTTAAATAACTCCAATTTAAAATTTTTTCATTCTTTAAAATATTTCCGTATGGAAGTTGTATCACAAAACTTATACGCAAAATTTTAACATCGTATATTTTGGTTTTGCTATTTTGCTAAATATAGAAATGTTACGTAATTTTTATTTTTTAAACGTGTGACTGAGATCTCAAATCATTTCTAATTTCGCTCCGTCTTTATATTACAATTAAGGTTAAACTTACTGCATCCTCGGACATTTATCTCCGAAAAAAAAAATAATAATAATAAATTGGTCGAATATCGGAAATATTTTCTCTATTATATCTTTCAATTCAATTTATAACAAAAATGCAACTTACGAAGTATGTGACAATTGAACCAACCCCAATTTAAAATCTAGCCCTGTGCCAATTTTATTTATTTCATTTAATGAAATTGACAAAAGTTGCAATTATTGTGGACTTGAATTTTCTAAGACAATTTATGATTTTGACAAATATTGTAAAAGTTGCTTAACTTGGTATATTAAGTATTTAACCGATAATGATATATACTTGGATATTTGTTTAGGTACAAATAACATTCAGTGTAGTGATCATGAACCAAGAAATTCAGATTTTTTGACGCATAAAATTCAAGAATGGTGTTTAAATTGCTCGGAAATTTTATACTTTGGACAAATTTTACAAACTTTTTATAGTTATAGAAATCGAAATAATCGCAATGCGTGTCTTCTATGTGGAAAAGGTTTATCTGATGGAGATAAATGTCCTAATTGTTATTTGATTTCTAATGGATGGACAGAATCAACAGTCATTAAAAAATCAATTCAATAATTTATTCGCCATGGTGGGATGCCAGAAACTTTTGTATAATCTGTTGTAGAAAATTAAATTTTGTAACAGATTGTCAAAAGTGTTGTTCATATTGTTTTATAATATATACCGGATGTAGATATTGCTTAACGACAAATATCATATTTGGAATTACCGATCAATCTCAATGTAAGAAATGCAAGAGAGTAGTTTCAATTACTATTGATGTTACAAAGTTTGTCAGTGGTAATTCAATTTTAGATGAATTTATCTATTATACAAAATTTAACAGCAGTTGCAAAATTGTGGATGATCTAATTAAGTATAATGAAATTTACAAATTAATTAGATCTGGTAGTTTTACTTATGATCTTAAATATATTCTACCAATGGAATGGATTCCATATACTCAAATTACAAGTTTAATAAAAATAGCGGAAGGAGGATATGGCATAGTTTATCGAGCAACTAGATTCAATCCTGATAGTTATAGAAGTGAAGTTGTTGCGATAAAAAGAATCTTACACTCTCAAAATATCAGCAAAGGTTTTTTAAATGAGGTATTTATTTAATATTACTAATATAAAAGACATTTTTACTTTATATTAAATTTTTTGATATTATAATAATTTTAGTTAAAATCGTTATATTTTTGTAATCATAAAAATTCAAATGTAATTCAATGCTATGGAGTTACACAAGATCCCGAGACAAAGGATTTTTTGTTAATAATGATGTATGCAGAAGGAGGTGATTTGCATAATCATGGCGTGATAAATTACGTATTTTACGTGATGTTTCAGAAGGGTACTTATATTTTTAATTAATATATACATTAATTAATATATATATATATTTATACTTTTTTTAACTTTAGACTTTGTGTTATAAATGAAAAAAATATTATGCATCGAGATCTTCATAGTGGAAATATATTAATTATATCTTCAATAAATCATTGGTTTAAAAAATGGTTTATTGGAGATCTAGGATTATCACAACCCGCAGATTTTTCGCAGAATAATGAAATATATGGTGTTATACCTTATATAGCACCTGAAGTATTTAAGGGTGTTAAGTTTTCAAAAGAATCTGATATTTATAGTTTGGGTATGATTATGTGGGAATTAACAACGGGTCGTAAACCTTTTGATAATATTGAACATGATACGGATCTTATTATCGCAATTATTGATGGAAAGCGGCCTGAAATTACTCAAGATACTCCTGAATTCTATGCAAATTTAATGAAAAGATGTTGGGATCCTGATCCTTCAAAAAGACTTTTAATAACAGAAATTTATAGTATAGTTTCTGGATGGAGTCCTAACTATCAAGAATTTAAACAAGCTGAAATGAAAAGATTGAAATTGATACAATCTATGAAACTTGGTCCCAAATTTAGTGAGCAACCTCATCCGAAAGCAATATTTACAAGCAGAGCATTAAGTTCTTTGATTTCGAAAACTTCATCTATAAATTTATCTATAGAACATGTATATAATACAAAACAAGGTATTTGGTTTAAATGATTATTTTGATTTGAATAATCGAAATGATACAATTATTTATTGTTTATTAATATAATTTTCTTGGGTTGTTCAGAGTATTTTTCAATAGAATATGATCTGGATATAAGGTATTAATTGACATTACATTAGAAATAAAGCTAACTAATATTCACTTTGTTTTCTTTAATTATTTAGGTCATCTTTAATAAATGTGGATCCTACTAGTCAAAATTCTTCAAATATCCAACGTTCAAAGGCAGTTGATATAAATATATCATCATGTACATATAATTCAACAACCTATTCTTCAAAAAAACGTAGAATTGAAGAATAAAAAAGAAGCGGTTTTCGATGCTTAAATTTTATTTGATCGATAAATCACCTGTTTACACCAATTCGAAAGCGGCGATTATCAAGATTAATCTTTTATTTATATAAATTAATAGTCAAATATTTTAATTATTTACAAAAAATAAATGATTTATTTTATTTTTTTTATTTATTTTTATTTTAATCAAATAACATTAATAATTATTTTTTAAAAAAATTTGTTAATGTCATGCATAATAATACTACGAAACAAAGGGGCTACATAAATCCTAAGAAACTTAACATCGTGAATATAAGAATCGACATTCAAGGTTGAAACCCTATAAAAAAAATGTAAGGAAGCAGTAAATACCTCTTAATTAAAATAAACACTAAGTTACCTACCATCCGGAAGGCGAACACCACGTTCAAGATGACGCCGAACCTAAAAAAGAAACGTAGTGAATTAACTATAAAATAAACTTTGTATCCGCACATCCAATCTACTCACCATTCCAGAAGGTGGAATCTAAGTCATCTAATCCAGGACGTGAACCTAAGAAAAAGAACCAAAACGAAGCATTATTTCTTTTTTAACGTTTCTAAAAGAAACGCCGAACCATATTTCTGGAAGGTGAAACCTATTTCCAAGCCAAATCCTATAACGAGGAGTTAATGTATTTGATAAATCAATTTTTTGTTAAAAAGAAATGAAATGAAAAAAAGTAATAAGAAAAACAACTATAAAATAGTAATAATAATAATAAAGAAAACATTACTTATTTTTGTGATTTTACAAAAAAAAAAAAATAAAAATAAAAATAAAAAAAATAAAATAAAATTTTGCATGTGATGATTGAATTTCTTCAGAGGTTCTTCAGTAATTCCATTGAAGTTTTTCCAAAAGTGCATTTGATACAATATTTGACAATTTTGCTACTTTGAAACTTTGTTTAATTTCGCTGATGATATAGGAGACCAAAGCACTTTTTTTGTAGATTTTGATGTAAAATTGATTGTTGAGTTAGGCAATTTAAATAATCTTCCTCAATTGAAGTTGAATTGTTTGAAGGAAAATTGAATGCCCATGTTTTAAAATTCCTTGTTTTACAATTAAATTTTGTTACAATGGCATAACTATTTTAAATCTTTATTGTAATGGGATATAAAATTCAATTTTATTTATGAATGATTTTAAATTCATTATATTGTCCTGTTGAAAAAGCCTAAAAATCAAAAAAAATCTATTAACTACGCTCATTTCTCAGGAACTAGTTTAATATATTTTTATAGTAATTTTACGAGATTGCTTATGTATACTAATCGTGAATTATATTATATAAAATTTTAAGTTAATATTTGATAAATTATATAAAGAATGTTTTGATAAAAGCTTTCAAAATTTATGTTCAAAAAGTATCCAAAAACTCATTGATACCTATTTTGAAAATTGGTTCCTCAGGATGTTGTACTATCTTATCCTATCCTACATGAAGTAATGCCATCATATAACATTTCGACAACTAATATTATTTTTCTACTAATAAAGTTATTAATCTTTACTATAAGGCCTAATTTATTTGGTTGCTATGTCCCAAAATATCATTGCTAACGAATGCACCTCTGGGAAAAATTTGCGAAAGAATGTATTTTTCCCAGATTAGTCTGGGATATAAAATACATGAATTTTGTGATGATTTTCATTCACATGATAACCTCACAAAATTATAAATTAATTGTTTCTATCAAATCAACTTGCATTTAAATATTTAAAAATGTAACAATATGTCATTTTTGTGGTTACCAGGTCAAAAGTCAGGGATTGAACCTGGTTAAAAATTATTTGAGATGTAGTAATGACAACATATGCGCCTTGGGCTTTGGTTGTAATTTTAATCAAGAAATTCCATACTTGGTGGTAGCGCAAAGCATAACAGGATTGAAAAGGTTCAGTATGATGAGAACATCGTTGGGAATACGTAAATACAATAAATAACATATGATAAATAAATGTTAAATTATTCAATTGCAAGCACCGCACCATGAAAACTATTGATTGGTTGATATGTCCCCTATATAACGTCTTTGTTTAACCTAACGAGGATTTGTAATATAAAAGTTTCGGAACGTAGTCAGTTCTATAGATAATACATACCCTCGAGCGATATACTTTTATTACAACTCACTACTTCATCAACCCACATATTTTATATCCTTTAATTAACACCATATGATTTACCTTAATTATGCAATAATGACGTGCATGTAAAAGTAAAAATTCGTTAGTCAGCTGAAATTTTTAGGGTGAACTCCGTGATAGTCGGTCAATTGATGATTGACTATCGACACAAAATTTTTCACCCTATATTTGTCACCTTGTGCCACTCCCTCCGCGTTTCCATTTTTCATAATTTTCCGGAGACAGAATTTTTTAATTGGCTAAAAATATTTTTTTCACGCCATTATATTTCACCGGTCACGTGCAGTGAAATTTTTACTTATAAATTTATGGCGATACTGGGGTAAATTATTAACAAATGATCACGAAAAAGAAATTACAAATACTTCCTATCTCTTGCAAAAAATTTGAAAATTTTGACTAATGCATTTATTAAGCATTCCATCATCTAATTCTAAAAGGTAGGGAAGCCAGTTCTCAAATGTGCTATAGGAATTTCATGAAAATAACTCGAATAGCTTATCACAGAGTGTCTAGATTAGCATTGAGGTAGCGTTTTTCAAATGCTTATCCTGTTAAGAAATGATTTTGTCGTCAAATACATGGGCACACAAATACACGAACTTTATTAGAATACATTAAAAGGCAAAACGTTATTTATTATTACTTACGGGCTAATTGTCGAAGGAAGCAACTCGTCACAATAGATCGTATACTAGGTTCTCGTATATGCAGTATTTAATGATATTTTTTGTAATTTTAGTATTTATACAAACTTTGTTTTGCCTTTCTGATGAGCTTTCAGATTTTCTTCCATATCGTCATCGTAATCCAAAGCGTCATCTATATCATTATGTTATGGAGCGTTTTCTACATCATCACGTTCTGGAGTTACTTCATGTTCTAGAGTTTCTTCTACATCATCACTGTGTTGCTTTTTAGTAGCTTTAATAATATATATGGATGAGAGGTCTCAAACGTTACATTATTATTGATTTCTTTAAATTACAAAGATATTTTAAATACTTTATTTATATTATATCTGTTTTAGTAAAATGCAATTTTGATAAATACGAAGGAAGAAGAATAAATATATACTTTTATATATTCTTTTAAATAAACTATTAAATCAATGAAAAGTTTATTTATACTTTAATTAAACTACTAAATAAAGCTATAAAATGATAAAAAAAACTTAATTTATAAACGAAAGAGAAAACTGAGTTAAAATAACGAAAAATATTTTGGAATTTGGAATTGAATCCAATGATAATTGATGATTTTCCATAAATTTTTGCCATATGTTAGTGGTGTATCATCATCACAATAAACGTTGTTTGTATCGCAAGAATTGTGGAATTTAAATAATAATAATGAATATCAGATAATGTTCCTGAAATGTGATAAAATATCAAAAAGATCTGCCAAAAATTTTGTGGCAAAAATAAAATTTGGATTAATTCATCCAATAAATTTTTTGTTAATCCAGCTCTATCTTCATTGACAATAATATCTGTATGTAAAGCAGATATAATAGAATTTAAAGCTTGATGTAAATTAGACATCATTTTGGATCATGATATCATTCGCAAATTTTTTTACTGATTATAAAATCTACTAAAATAATTACATAACTTTTTTTAAAGTATAGATTCGTATTCCTTAAAATATGGAACATCCTTTGCCGCATCTTTACCAACAAGCGCAAATTGATGTGCTATGCAATGAACTGCAGTGATTTTTAAAATATAAAATTTATCTGTCATTACAGATGCGCGACATCGTTTCCTATATTATATATAGTGTGTTGCAAAAAAAACCAGAATTACTATTTTTGTATTTATTTGATAATAACTATTCAAATGATACAAAAGTTTAAAGATAAGTACTTGAAAATCTAATGAAAAAATTTAATTAGAATCATTTGATAGCTTACCTTTACGGTACGGTACGATTTTGCAAATCAGTAAATTTGGCATCGTACCGTACCGGTTTTCCATATACTCCGAAAGTTTCGACGGGTTTCGATGAGTTTCGACGGTTTCGATAACAACTTTACGAATTTTAATAAATTCGACAGGTTTTAACAGGGTTATTGTAGAATTTGGAACCGGTTGCATTTTAGAAAACCGAATTTAAAACGGGTGCAACCGGTTTGACCCTTTTCAAATCGGTTTTTACAAATCCGGTTGAAACCGATCTTCACAAATGGTTTATATTTGTTAATTATCAAATTTAAATAAAATCTGGGTTAATTATTTATTTATAAAATGCAATAAGAGAGAGTTTAATGAGATCATTTATTCATCACGCGCATCTCTTTTTTCTTATTTATCACTCCTTTTCAAGACATCATCCCGTGTTTTCACTGTTTATGTTTTTTGATAATATAAATTCATGGCGCAGCAACTTTGTCTGAACAAAAAATAATAATAAAAATCGCCAGTCGCGAAATATATATTTGTTTTTTATTTAATTATTTTCTGTGGATCTTATTTACTAAATTAATTAAATTGAATTAGAATTTTTTTTAAAAGAAAGCAAAAAAAAGTAAATGGGAAACCAATTTAATCCCATCACTCAAAAAAAAAAAATCATGCAGTGAAAGTTCACCTTAATAATAGATCATTCATTCATTCATTAAAATAAATTTATTTTTTTTATTTTTTTTTTTTAGATCTGTTATGCCAGAACTTTTTTGCACGAAAGTAATCTTCTTTCATGTCATGTTGCGAAAATCAAAACAAAATATAACCATGAAATACAAACTGTTTTTTTTATAATGGAAAATTTTTTTCAAAAAGAGGAAAAAAAAAAAAAACTGTCAAACAAAAAAGAAATGAAAAAAAAAATTTTTTTTTTTTGTTACTTTAAAGAAAAGGAGAGCCGAAAAAAACCTGAAAGAAAGAGGAGGAAGAAAAATATGAACAAAAAAAAAAGAGAATCATATGGGAGGGTTTCTAAGAAAATCAGGTTCCGAGAAATTTTTGACTTAAATTAAGAGCTTAATACATTTTAATCTTTAAAAACTAAAATGCAATAAAAATCTCAATTTTGTTAAAAAATTCCCGGAACCTGATTTTTCTAGCAATCAACCCAATCTGTGTTGAATATAAGAAATATTATCAGTTAAAAAGAAATCATAGCAAACGAAAAAAGGAAAAAAGGTTAAAAAAAAGTAAAAAAAAAAAAACAAATATACAGTGGCGATCAAAAATAACGCATCACCTAAATGAAAATATTTAAATAAAAATAACTTTTCATATAATGCTCACAAAATTATGCAAATAGGTGCATTTTATTCGTTAAAACTTAGAGAATTTTATCATGTAAATTTATTTTATAACAAATTTATTATCATTCAAAAAA